TTTTTAATTTTTTTATGTTTAGTTGTTATTTAATTTAAATTAAAAATGTGAGGTGTCAATGACTTGGCATTCCATGTCAGCAAAAGTCAATGTTAAGTTGACCACCGTTTGGTCAACCGTTATCTTTAACGGTCAACGAAATTGTCAGGATACAAATGACATAAAATATAATAGTTCAGGACACAGATGGAATATTGAAAACAATAGGACACAAATGGCATTTTCCGGATAGTTCGGGTGTTGTAGTGGTATTAGCCCTTATTAATATTAGTTGTAGGATTTAGCGGCTAGTTAGGAGCCGAATATTATTAGGGTTCTTTTAGGGTTTGGACTGTATTTTATTATAAATATGTACTTGGGGTCTTACGGGATAGGCTGTCAGAAATTAATAATCAATCCCTATTCAGTTTATCCCTCTCTTCTTCTCCTAATCTCTTCTAAATCCCCAAGCCCCAATTCTGTTCTTCCTATCTCAATTCTTCTTCTCAAATCCCTAATTTCGATCTTCTAATCCCTCAATCTCTTTCTAATCTATCCGGTTACGTTAATCGTAAGGAACTCGAAGAAGTGTGTTTCTTACAAAAGTACTATTCAATGAATGCTTGAGAATGATTTTCCATGTGGTGAAAGTGCCTTGTATAGGTAATCTAACCACTGCTTTGCCCTTCCTCCAAGGGAGAATGGGAAAAGTCTTAGTAAGTTTCCATCTTTGGTAGCTTTACCTTCTGGAATGGAATTGACAATCCAATAATATCTTTAGATGTTTCACATGATCATCATTATTCTTTCCTTAAATCTCTCTTCTTGTTGTACCATTTGAATAAGTTGAGTGCATATATCAATGGTAGTAGGTGGTGCAACAATGTTTGAGATAATATTTGATGCTCTTGCCCTTGAATAATCATAAAGAGTAGTTGGGACGACCACTCGTCTTTCTCCTTCTTCTCCAGTCAATGATGATGGGGTTGAAGATGTTGAAGAGATTCCTTCTTCTTCAGAATCGAAGCTACAATCTTCATCAATGTTCTCCTCCTCCTCCAAGCTTGGCTTGAAATCGGTGTGACTTGAAGGATCCTCTTCTTCTTAGCTAGATGCTCATTCCTTCGATCTCAAGATGGGTGAACTCGATGCTCCTCCTTCTTAGACGATCTCTTGCACGATCTCTAGTTTTTTTATACTTATTTTCTAGTACTTACTGAAATCATACCACAATCTAAGAAGGTTAATAAAGAGACATAAGATGGTTAGAAGCTTTTATATATGATTAGAAGTCCGTTGTAGGATGGAGCCTTGCGGTGCTAACGATTTAATAACTATCTTTAGGAATTGGGTTCAAGCTTCCTCCAGCCCCTTCTCATCAATGGACCCCTGACGTATACGAAGGAGTGTGGTTTGTTTGAAAAATTCCTACCTCTTTATCTATCTCCGAGATGCTTGGATTTTTAAAAACTCCATTGACATGGTTAGAAGCTTTTACATATGATTAGAACTCCTTGACAACGACGCCAAAAACTTGATGCTGGATTCATGCAAGTAATAAAAAGTCATAGGATGTCTTGAGGTTGTATTCTACAAGGTTTTCTAATGCATAACTACTCACATCATAACATCCATGCTCGAACAAGCATATGAAAGAATTTTAGGGGGTTTTATTCGAGTAAAGCATCAAAGTAAAGCAAGCACGAAAAGCAAAAGTTGTTTAGGGGGTTTATCAAGTTTATAGATGCATATAAGTAAAGATACGTTATCGGATAACTCATACTAGAATACTATCATGCATATCAATAATCATTCATACCACGCATCAATGACTCATATATAGCATCACTATATGTATATCCCTTCTACTAAGGTCATCCTACTCAAAATTTCACCACATGCAATAGAAACTTGAGTAGCTAATAAATGCTTTCGCTTTATGCCATCACCTACTCAATGAAGAAAAGAGAAATAAGGATAACACATGATTAAGTGTGGGACTCTTGAAACAATACTCGATGTTCTATAGCATTGATGATCTAAAAATCAAGCATGGATACTACTTGAGGCATATATGGTTGATCATTCCCTCTATACTCGTGTAGCATCAATGGGGTATCACTAGAGGGTAATTTGTTAACAACATAGATTATACTAATCAGAATGCATATATTAGTATACTATAGAATCATAAGTATCAGGATAAGAAAACATTCATACTAGATCATGGCCCCCCTAAACTTAGAAATACGATAGAAGTTTGATATAACAACCAAAGTCTTTCGTAGCACAGTGGTGCTGCCACTTATATTACTCCACCGTTACCGTGACTCCGTGAGGATGAGGGCGCTCATTTTGCTTTAATTGCCTCTCATTACACCCTTTTACTATGAGGATGAGGGCAAGTCTCCTTTATGTTTTCCTTTAAAAACTCATTTTGCTTAAATTAATAAATTGGCTCTTCCTAGTCCTACACCCTTTTCCCTATTTTTCTAGGCAAGTATCATTTATATTTTTTATTTTCTTGGCAAGTCTCTTTGCATGTGAATTTATTTGAAATTGAACATGTTATAATTTTCAATAGTCGAATCTATGCTATGCTATTTTATTTTGAAATATATCATGATTTTTATAGTTTTGACATATTTTTAATGATTTTATATAAAAAAATTGTTAATAATTTTGGACGTTATATTTATATGTATTTTTTCCATCACTATGTATGTGTTGGAAAAAATTCGCCGACCCCCCTGATTCGAAATCCTGGCTCTGTCCCTGTACTAGATAAACATTAATGAGCATCACAGATTGAAACCAAAGCATCAATGCATACATCATAGGCATCAAAATTCATAAGCATAAATACAAGCTTAATATGAAATCATAGCATCAATACATATAAAGATGAACAAGTTCACATTCATGCACAATCAATTTTCAAACTAGCTATACACAGAAGAGAAGGAGGGTACCACCATCGATGATGAATACATCTCTTTAGCCGCACCATCTCATGCGAAAGCTAAGATCTCACTTGAATAGAGTGTCTACAAAAGTTTGAATGGAATTATGCAGCCTACATAACTAATGAGTCTAGCTCCCTATTTATAGTGGTAGAACTCGGCTAAAATCCTCCTAAAACCTACTCAGGTTTGGTTTCTTTGAATTGGGCCAAAGCATGGCCTAAAAAATCTCTACTTTGGGTTTAGACTTTGGTGTGATGGCTAGTTTGCTTAAGTGATGGTTGGACCCATCATTTGGCCGTCACTGATTATTGCGTCATCTTTTGTCGAGTCTTCCTCTATTGGATTCTACTTGCGCTCATCTCGTGGTTCCCAGTAGGTATTCCGTCATTGAACCTCATCTTTTATGTGTAACTCCATGATCTCCTCTCTTTTGTTCCTTTGCTCCTCCATAATCATCCAATGCTTGATCCAAATCCTCCTAGGTTGTATTCAACCTTGAAAAGCTTAAAATATACCAAACAAACACACAACTTAGGTCTATTAAATGCCCACTGATCAAATAGTTATGATTTAGATATAAAATGTGAAAGAAAGTACTAAAGATGCATTGATAGAAGGGGAAAATGTATCAATCACTAGATTTGGACTCGCCCCGTTGGTCGGATGTATTTCATAAATGGTATAAACAACAATAACAATTTGTTCGAAGAAAGGTAGACATGAGCAGTTGGTCGGATTCATTTTTCATATCCCAAAATAATGAATAGCAAAAGTCAAGCAATATACATTTTTGTTTGATAACATAAGAGAATTCAAATTATTTAGTTGGTAATATTCAAAAGGATTAACTTCATAGTATTTTCTGAAACTCTAACCTATTCATTAGCTAAAATCCTTAGCATAAAAGACAAACCTCGAACCAATGAGCCAACTTCTAAAAACTTGTTCAAATGACACTTCTATTTACTCTTCTTTCATAGAAACTACAACATTTTTTCTTGCCTTTGTTTGGTTTCCTCTACCATGAGCATATAATAATTTTCATCAATAATAACACCCTCATCTCCAGTAGTGAAACCTCCATATCAATTATGAATGCCCTTTTACTTATTCTATTGTATTCCAATTATCTCTTCTTTCTTCTCCTGTATTTGATCGAAACTAAATATATTAATTGTAAAATATTCTTCTTTGCGTAATGGAATTTGTCGTCATATCAAGTCGATTCTAAGGTGACGAAGTGAGAATTTTTTGTCACAAATACATTTGCAACAGCCTATAGGTGACCTGTGATGGAAAATGCCGTCACAAACGTTTGGTGACAAATTTTCTACTTTCGGTGACAAACAATTGCAGCTCGAAACACTTTCCCCCCGCTAACTTCAGCTCCAGCCCTGAATTAACTACACCTAGGGAAAAAACGATGGTCCTGTGTTGCCTGGATTGAAAAAAAACCATCCATGTTGAAACTGGCCAAAAACTAGCTTCTTGGACGGTAAGAAAATCTCTGATGCTTCTAAAGAAATCATCACGAACTCGTTTTCAGTAACTTAGTGGCTAAGAATCGATCCGGCAGAAACTGCTAATCATGATGCTAACGATCACTTGGATGCTAACTATCCATTTATCAACTACAACTAGTCATCAACGATCCAGTTCCTGTAACATTGATTCTGGCATTCAAACCGCTATTGCTAGAACAGTAATTTACCAATTGCTTATAGTATCATCCAACAGTTGTGTTTTCAGAAATTCCAACTTCATCAGCACAATCATACGCTAAAATGCTTCATAATGTTTAGAGCAAGTTACTTAAAATTATAAAATCTCAAGGTGAAAAGACTGCCGCTAAATTTGGAGCAGGTGCCACGAGATAAAAGTTCGACCGGATACGTTAGAATTGAGAAGATAGCTCATTTAGGTTGGCAAACACAACCAATTCAGAGAGGTCTTTCCCTTCAAATCAAAGGACAAAGCACGAAGAAGTTGACAAACCAAGAATAAATCTGGAAGTTAAACCTTTTTTTTATAGCATCTGATTATTCCTCAACTATTGTCAAGTCAATCGTTAGCTAATGATTTCAATCACTTGGAATATGAACCCAGAAATCATCTTTAGTGGCTACAAAGAAACAAAGACTGGTAAAATGTTTCGCGACACTACCTCGGATGAACCATTTTACATCGATCAGCTAAAAGTATACCTGAAAGAAATAGAGCGAAGCCGCTTCAAAAATAGCGAGTGAAATAGGATCCAACTTAGTTACTTGGACAATAAAACTGCCAACAACAAACAAATGCACAAGCAACGTTCTCCAACTTGACGCTGCAGCTCAAGCTTCGGAGTCTTAATGATTTACCATAGTCGATTACCATGCTCTATATGATGGCCATATGCAGCAAAACAACATAGGAAGGACATAACCACTCAGGTACTGTTACATTGGCACATATCAACCATTCAAAGCACTCCATCTGCCATTTTCACATTAACACATAGGCGTCATGAGTTTGTTAAGATAGTTGATATAGGCTGGTACCATAAGTACTAAGTCCATAACTGAGGCAAAAACAGAGTAGTCTAGGGGGAAAGAGTGAAGTAGATGAGAAACCAAGAATACGAAGCTGAAGTACTGTCCGCATAAGTCCCACCTCAAGCTGACAATGTTGCCAACCCGACCTAGGGTACATAAGCCAGTCAAATCAATTTGAGCAGCTTAAATCAATTGCTTCGACAAACCCATGACCTACTGGCAAATGATCTGAAGAGTAAGCATAATAAGCTATTGGCGAACCACGATCAGATAATATCAGGAAATAGATTATAATAGAGCTACACATACTCAAGGTTTGGTTTCATACTAGATGACCCTTTAAGAAAGTAATCGACCAGTTTGTGAGGTACATGGCCAACCTCGGCTTTCACGATCAAGGACTTCAATCTTGCAAAGGGAGAGGGTTGCTGTTCCAGAAACTCAGAAATTTGACTCAATGCCTACACAGCGCACAAGCCAACTCAAAACTTAAGTTAATATATCCAGGAAGAAACATTCAGATTGCGACTGCAATAACCAGGCAGAGATTACCTGGATGGTGGCGTTATCCAGCATGAGAGATGTTGCATTAGTCAAACCTTGGAACAAGGAGATGAAACGTTGTGCCCCACATTCCCGGTTATCTTTCAAATGCCAGTCGTCACCAAAGTCAACACAGTCACCGACACTAATAGCAACATGATCGAGAGAAGGCAAGCTTAACTTGGTGGATTGCAGGGCGCCCAAATAATGCCGAAGACTGAAGAATTTTAGCCTTGGAGAAAATACTTCCACATTGAGCCAAATCATATGGTCCAATTTAAGGCTAACCAACTGGCGTCCCGATATCTTGAGCACCACATCACTAATAGGGTCGTCATCCAAAGGTTCGCAGGAAGTCAAGACCAAATTCTTCAAAGACGGAAAGTTAGAAAAGAAGTCGTTATGTTGATCAGCAGCCAGTGAGCAATATTTCAAACTTAAAGTTGTCAGCATTCCGAAGCCACAAGATCCAAGACCATCGTCGATGCAGACATATCTTAGTTCTAGAGTATTGAGGTTGCAGTTCAAGACTGTGCCGAACAAATCCGTAAATCTTGCAGAGACATCTTTATACTCATTGTGCAGATTGATCACCAAATGTTGAGCAGCATGCGATAAAGCATATTTGATAACCTTTACACAAATACTAACATCTGTATCATCGTTGTCCATGTAGCTCACCTTGCGGAGATTGAGCTTATAGCGGAGAGACAAAACCTTAAACACAAACCTTCGAAAACGTTTGTACCGCCGAAAGGAAAGGCTGCTCAGGTTGAGGACATCGACATGTTTCCACGCTCTGTTCCATGACCGAGACAATACTGAGGTCTGAACGGCCGATTTGGTGTCGAGGAACGAAAGGATGTGATAAAGAATGGGCTCTGGAAGACTACTTAATCTGTCATTAGTACTATCTTCTTCTACTTCTTCTCCTCTGCGCCTTTTCCTATTTTTTTTCCCCATCTGGGATGCAACTACTGCTGAATTCAATACTACCTACCTAAAGCTGAAGAGTGAAGATCAAAAGCCAAATTTCAACAAGAACCGTAACAACAAACAGGAATCCACCTGTTTCCGATGACCATTCATGGAGTCTAGCAGCCGTATTCCGCGCCAAAAGAGCTGCAACCCAATCACCTCTAGTCCTCCACCGCTGCAATCCAAACTCGCTCGTACACCGGAGAGCCGCAGTAAAGCAGAAAGCTGGATGGCGCTATGGAGAATTGATCCAATTAACGAACGCTATGCTGCACAATTCGCCGAATCTAGGGTTTCATGTTCAGGCGCGGGAACTATACAGTTCAGTGGACAGAGAGAGGATGCGGAGAAGAAATCAGAAATGTATTACAAATCTGAGCCGAAAAGCGAAACAAGGAACTCGCTGTTTTTTCCTTGTTTGTATCCTTCTGGGCTTTTAAGGGGTTTTCTATTGTATATAGGCCCAGATTATCCTTTTGGGCTTCTCCCGCCTCATGAACTCAGAGTAAATATAAGCTTCAGTGGCCGAAAGAAAGCAGCTAAATTCTGAGCGAATTGCCAGGCGCCATAAGTTTAAGAAGATAGTTGATTTAGGTTAGCTTGGCAGCACTAAGTCCAGAACTGAGGCTGAAACAAACTATTCAGATAGGTGTTTCTTCAAATCAAATTACAAAGCATGAAGAAGATGGCAGCCCAAGAATAAAAGCTGAAATACTTTCATAAAAGTTGACATTGTGGGTGTGGCCAACCCAACAAAATGGTACGCATTGCAATAAAAACAAGTTGAATATCTTTCATGAATTACTTGAACAAATTCATGACCTACAAGTAAATGATCCGAAAATAAAGAAAATCCAACCTATATGCGTATCACAATCAGCAACCATGGCAGAATGGTTCATAACAGGGCCTAATACACTCAACTTCTGGGTTCATACTAGACGAGCCTTTAAGAAAGTAATGAACCAGTTCGTCAGGTACTTCGTCTCGTCCAAGAAAAGTCTTCACGATCAACGACTTCAATCTCGTGAAGGGGGAGGACTTTTGTTGTTCCAGAACCTCAGAAACTTTCCTCAGTGCCTACAAAGAGCAGAAGCCAACTTTAAAATGTGAGGTAAAATTTCCTAGAAATAGCGCGTAAATTACGATGGCATTATCCAAGGCAGAGATTATTACCCTGAGGGTGAAGTACTCCAGCGAGAGATATGTCGCATTATTCAAACCTTGGAACAAAGACATGAAACGTTGCGCCCCACATTCCTTGTTGTCCAGCATGAAATAGTCCCAATCCTGCACCCCGATAGCAGCATGATGGAGGGAAGGAAGGCTTAACTTGATGGATACCAGGGATTCCAAGTTATGCACAAGACTGAAGAATTTGAGTTTTGGTGCAGATATCTCCATCTTGTAACACACCATAAAATCCAACTTCAGGTAAATCAATTGGGGTCCAGATATCTTAAGACCCCTTCCATCCTGGATGGAGTTGCCGTGGTCCCAAGGCTGGCAAACAGTCAGGACCAAATTCCGCAGAGAGGGAAAGTTCGAAAAGAAGTCCTCATATTGGTCAGAAGCCAGAGAGCAAAGATGCAACCTCAAAGTCGTCAGCATACGAAAACCACGAGATCGAAGACCATCGTCGATGCAGACATACTTTAGTTCTAGAGTTTTGAGGTTGCAGTTCACGATTTCCCCGAACAACCCCGTAAATCTGTCACTCTGATGGACATCCTTGTACTCATTGTCCAGGTTGATCACCAAATGCTGAGTATCATGGGATAAAGCATATTGGATGACCTCCATGCACATACCAACATCTCGAAACTCCGTGATCAATGCGTCCCTTCCATCATCTCCGTCGACCCTCTCATGCCTATGTCTATAGTTGTCCATGTAGCTCACCTTGCGGAGACTAAGGTCATAGCGGAGGTCCAAAACCTTAGACACAAACAACAGGAAACTCGAATACTCGTAGAAGGAAAGGCGGCACAGATCCAGGACAGGGACATGTTTCCACACCCGGTTCCATGACCGAGACAACACCGAGGTTTGAACGGCAGATATGGTGTCCATGAACGAAAGGATGTGATGGAGAATCGGCTCTGGAAGATGGCTTAACCTGTCAGTAGTATCTTCTTCCTCACTACGCCCAATTTCCATTTTCCCCAAATGTACAGCAAGAGCAATGGATGCTAATCGGCTTTCTACTTGATCAATTCAGTTCTACCTAAGGCAAGAAATCGGAAAGCGATTACCGTTGAAGGCGACTTGCCGCCGGAGTCCGCGCCAGCAGAGATACAAGCAAATCGGCTGCACCGCTGCAATCCAATCGGATTAACGAACGCTGCATTCCATAGTTCGCGGAATTTAGGGTTACAGTTTTGGGCGCGGGGATTGAAGTCTAGAAAACGATGGAGATTGGAGATGGAGGGGAGACTGGAGACACTGTGGGACTGGAGCTACGAGGATATCACAGCGGCGGAGAGGAGTGCGGCGGCGGCGGCGGCGGCGGCTTCAGAGGAGTTAGATGAAGGCGAGGAGGAGAGAGCACTGCTGCTGCTGGAAGGAGAGAAAGCGCAGATCAACGGCAGAGGGTGGTTTTTTTGTAACAGCGATGAGGAGGAGCGAGAGCTGATAGGATTGATTTTTCTTCTTCTTTTAATTTAGTTCCTCTTAAAATAGGGACATTGGTTTTTGTATTTAAATCGGATCAGACCGTATTCAAATCAAATACGGTTACGGTTAAAACTTAAAACCTACCAATTTAATTTTCCATCGAGGTTTTGGCATAATTTTCATCTGAAAATCGGGTAAACTCAGTATGGTTCCCATCCCTAGGAAACAATAGAGAACAGAAAATCATAATCCAATTGAAAAAGCGAGGAAGGTGTGAAATTATTAATCGCTCATGATATCATAACAAGATACAATTGAACATATGTAGATCACATATTGAACTCCTTGTTACAATGTTTGCATAGTGCAAAAACTTTGACGCTACTGGATGACTTTACCATTCAAGTATGCCAGGAATTTTATCAGGTATGCATATATAGTTTTAGGGTGGGTTAATACCTTAATTTGGCCCGAACTATATACATACTTTCTACTTTGGCCCGTGGTATTGGAAATTGTTATTCTGGCCTGAACTATGTAGCAAACTTACTCATTTGACCTGGAGGCGGGTTTGACCGTTAAATTAGACGGTCAAACTTGTTGACCGTTAGTCAATGTCCACCTCACCTGCCACGTCAGCTTAGAGGACATAAATTTTTAGTTTTTTTTTATTTCTGAATTTTGCTTTCTTGTCATTTGCTAAAAATGGGCCCTTTTTCGTTCTTTTAATTAATTTTTTTGATTTATGATTTTTATTAATCAAAAGAAAACAAAATTCAGAAATAAAAAAAAATAATTTTTATGTCCTCAAAGCTGACGTGGCAGGTGAGGTGGACATTGACTAACGGTCAACAGGTTTGACCGTCTAATTTGACGGTCAAACCCACCTCCAGGCCAAATGAGGAAGTTTGCTACATAGTTCAGGACAGAATAGCAATTTTCAATACCACGGGCCAAAGTAGAAAGTATGTATATAGTTCAGGCCAAACTAAGGTATTAACCCATAGTTTTACTACTCGAGAATATATAGTAGTATCGTACTTTTGGTTTTCAAATTTGTTTGTACGTGTTTTCTACACATACTAAACAATAGGGTGAGATTTTGGAGTAATAGTCAACATCTTCAAGAGGTTAGAGTCCTTAAGTTTGCTATCCGAAGATCTACCTGTAGTCATCAATTACTCTTTTAAATTTTATTTTTTTTTGTGAGGAGCCACATATTTTGGTTGGAACTAGTCGTTTATAACTTTATGGAAGTAAAACAGGGTAAAATAATGATTTTGCTGGATACTTGATTTAACAATATACATAAGTCTTTCACTATTTGTGTTATTTCACAACTTAGAGAAGGGATGGAATGAAAAAAGAGGTTGAGAGACGAGTTATTTGAAATAATTAGTGGGTGGGTAGATAGTTCAATTTTCTCATTAACAAAATACCAAATTTTCATTTTATTTTTGCCAAACGAGTTGTTTCGACCGAAATTCTGAGCTATTTCAGCTTAAATACCCTCATCGAATTACCTCATTCAAACAACCCGTTGGTCAATTTACAATGTGATACTGCCACTGTGGCACGTTGACTTAGCAGGGTATGTACCATTACTTGCTAGTTACCGGTGGCCTAAATTTCTACATTCGATTCTTGAGGAAATTTGCTTTAAGAAGATGACAATCCAAGAATAAAGCTGAAATACTGTCTTTATAAGATGGGGTCAAGCACTAACCCACGATGGGTAAATTATAACCAGGCAAACTGTACCAGATATGTTCAGTGTTCTCAGCAACCTATGTATAACGAGCCACAGCAATGGTTTCTAATTACTGCACAAATACAGCTAAATCATCAGTTAATCCAACGTGTAAGAAGTTAATTAGGAAGACACCACAAGTCCATAACTGGGCAAAGACCAAACCTTTCCGAGATGCAAGGCTCCTGAAAAGAATATACGAATGAAGAATTAACGTTGAAGTACACAGAAGTCATAAATTCCAGTTATCCTGTCATGACTGCAACTCTAACACATTACACATCTGAACTCTGAAGTGCAAGAATGCAGGGAAAGAATGACACCGCTCTTTATGGAACTGATAATGCAGTGCTTATTGAAGTAAAATAAGTAAGCAGATTTATTCTGAAATACCCATCAAAGACCTATCAGCCTTCACAATCGGATACTTTGGCAAAATGATCAACCAATAACGAACTCAAGGGTTGGTCTTGTAGTAGAAGACCCTTTAAGAAAGTAATTGTGCTGTGCGTCAGGTACACTTATCAGCCTTCACAATCTAGGCCTTCAATCTGGTAGATGGAGAGGGTCGTTGCTCAATAAACTCAAAAGATACTACTTAGTACCTGCAGATAATAGACACTAATTTGCAGTGTACAGCAATAGACATGTACAGCAATCAGAAACTACACTACGGCAAAATGCTTTAACCAATACTACGTTATATAAACTCAAGAGTTGGTTCTGCAGCAGAAGACCCTTCCAGGAAGTAAGCGAGCTAAATTCTGAGCTAATTTGCAAGCGCCATAAGTTTGAGAATATAGTTGATTTAGGTTAGCTTGGCAGCATAAGTCCAGAACTGAGGGAGAAACAAACTATTCAGAGAGGTCTTTCTCTTCAAATCAAAGGACAAAGCATGAAGAAGATGGCAAACCAAGAATAAAAACTTAACTACTTTCACAAATGTTGACAATGTGGCCAACCCAGCAAAATGGTATGTATTGCAATAAAAAACAAATTTTGAACCTTTCATGAATCACTTGGACATTTCCATGACCTACTGGTAAATGATCTGTAAAAAAATAAAATCCAACCTATATGCATGAGTACCACAATCAGCAACCACGGCAAAATGGTTCACGACAGGGCCAAATACACTCAACATCTGGGTTCATACTAGCCGACCCTTTAAGAAAGTAATGGACTAGTTTGTCAGGTACGTCGTCACGTCCACAATAAGTCTTCACAATCAACGTCTTCAATCTCGTAAAGGGAGAGGATTGTTGTTGTTCCAGAACCTCGGAAACTTTCCTCAGTGCCTAAAAAGAGCAGAAGGCAACAAAAAAATGTGCGGTAATATTTCCAAGAACAAACGCTTAAATTACGATGTCATTATCCAAGGCAGAGATTACCTTAAAGGTGCAGTTATCCAGCGACAGATATGTCGCATTATTCAAACCTTGGAACAAAGAGATGAAACGTTGTGCCCCACATTCCTTGTTGTCCTTCATGAAATTGTCCCAGCCCTGGATCCGGATAGCAGCATGATGGAGGGAAGGAATGCTTAACTTGATGGATACCAGGGATTCCAAGTCATGCACAAGATAGAAGAATTTGAGTTTCGGTGCAAATATTTCCATCTTGTAACACACCATAAAATCCAACGTCAGGCTAATCAATTGGGATCCAGATATCTTCAGACCCCTACCATCCTCGATGGAGTTGCCGTGGTCCCAAGGCTGGCAAATACTCAGGTCCAAATTCTTCAGAGAGGGAAAGTTCGAAAAGAAGTCCTCATACTGATCAGAAGCCAGAGAGCAAAGTTGCAATCTCAAAGTCGTCAGCATTTGAAAACCACGAGATGCAAGACCATCGTCGATGCAGACATACGTTAGTTCTAGAGTTTTGAGGTTGCAGTTCAAGATTTTCCCAAACAAACCCGTAAATCTGTCACTCTGATGGACATCCTTATACTCATTGTCCAGGTCGATCACTAAATGCTGAGTATCATAGAATAAAGCATATTGGATGACCTCCATGCACACACCAACATCTCGAAACTCCGTTATCAATGCGTCACTTTCATCATCTTCGCCCCTCTCATGCTCATACACATAGTTGTCCAAGTAGCTCACCTTGCGGAGACTAAGATTATAACGGAGGTCCAAAACCTTGCACACAAACCACAGGAAACTCGAATACTCATAGAAGGAAAGGCGGCACAGTTCAAGGACAGGGACATGTTTCCACACCCGGTTCCATGAACGAGACAACACCGAGGTTTGAACGGCAGATATGGTGTCCATGAACGAAAGGATGTGATGGAGAATCGGTTCTGGAAGATGGCTTAACCTGTCAGTAGTATCTTCTTCCCCACTACGCCCAATTCCCATTTTCCCCAATTCACAGCTAGACATATGGATGCTGATCCGCTTTCTATTTGAACAATTCAATTCAGTTCCACCTAAAGCAAGAAATCGAAAAAAGCGATCACCTTGCCGCCGGAGTCCGCGCCAGCATAGATACAAACAAATCAGCTCCACCGCTGCAATCCAATCCGATTAATAAACGCTAAACTTCATAATTCACGGAATTTTAGGGTTTCAATTTCAGGGGCGGGGATTGAAGTCTAGAAGATGTGGAGATTGGAGATGGAGGGGAGACTGGAGACACCGTAGAAGGTAGCTATGAGAAGACCACGGCGGCGGAGAGGAGTGGTTAGATGAAGGGCGAGGAGGAGATAGGCCTGCTGCGGCAGGAAGGAGAGAACGAGCTGAGCAACGGCTGAGGAGGGATTTCTGTAACAGCAATAAGGAAGGAGCGAGAGCTCGGGGAGGGAGGAGAGGAGTAGTTGAATGGTACGATTGATTTTTGCTTTTTTTTTATTTTTAATTTAGTTCCTCTTAAAATGGCGGCATTTTTGGGGACTAGTTACAACCGGTATTAAACTTTAAACTTTAAACTTTAAAACCGAATCTGACCGTATTCAGTTCAATCCGGTTACCGTGAAATCGTATTCAATTCAATTTTCGATTTTGTGTTCGGCAATAAAATTATCAGAAAAAATCGCGTAATATCGGACCGGACTGTTTCCAACTTATAAGAGATAGTAGAGGTATGGCTTTCGAAAAATAAGAATTCTATTGGAAAAGCGATAAATGTTGCGAAATTAACAACCATCATGATATCGTAATAGTTGATTTGACAAATCGTGAATAACTACCACTTGAACATTGGTAA